TACTCTCGCCCTGTCTCTCTCACTCTGTCGCTGTCTGTCCCAAAAGCAATTGCTGTCAATTTTTACTTAGGCCTGGGCTAATAAAAGTAAAAATGTTTTGCGACAACAGATGGTGATGCGCATATTTGATATTATTGTGCCTACACACACACAGGCATACACTCACACACTCCCACATACGAGTGTACGTGCAACAAGAGTGTCGCACTTAGACAGCATAAAATTTAACACGTCAATAATAAAAGCGCTGAAATTATTGGCCAAATGCGTTCGAGAATGTGGACCAAACAAGAACAAAAACAACAACAGCAACAACAACAACGGCAGAAATGTCATTGGCTCCCCGAATCGTGTTAATTAATATGGCAGACAAGTAGCCATATAAGAAGCATTGATATGAACGTCCTTACACTGCCAAGCATATTAGTTTTATGGCCCAGCACTTGACCTTGGCTAACAAGCTTTGGGTAGAAGGGAAAAGTGTGTGCCTTGGCTTGTTGCGTGGCCACGGAAATTTGTTTAGCTCTTACTTCTTCCCTCTTGCCTCTTGGCTCTGTGCGTGTCGCAGGCAGGCAAAAAGTTTTGAATAATAAGTATGACCTTAATTAGGTAATTTTATGGCCACTAACAATTAGATTACTAATGTCACGATTCTCGCACGCGCATCAGGCCAAACATCTGCGGCATATCCAGCTCATTAGCCAGCACGTTTTAAGTAGTTCACATATATATAAAAACAAACAAACTTTAAGTAACAGCCACTGATGAGCTGTATATTGCCTTGTTTATAGTTTGAATTGAAAAATTACTTAAAATATTTATAGACTTTATTTTACAGTAATTTTGCTCAGTTGAAAGAAGCCCTTGAGACAGACAGAGCCTTTAGGATATATGAATGAGGTGTAGCTAAGCCGAAAATGGGTTGAGTGAAACAGGGCGCACGTACATATATGACTGGGAGGCGGAATATTCAGCCGAGCAAAGAAGAATTTAAGGAGTGGGAGTGGGAGCTAATGAGTTGAGTATATGAGCTGCTGAGGTCGTACACAGGCACAAAACTACTATAAAGTTTGTAGTGCTACTGCATATACAGGGACATAAGAAGATAGAAACAGTAAGAGAGAGTGAGAGAGAGACAGAGTGAGAGAGACAGAGAGAGATATAGAGAGAGAGTAACCCTAAAATAGCGCATAGCCTATGAAAATGTGATCATTCCGTTTGAGCGACGCTCACAGCGCCCTAATTCTGTCGTGCTTTATTATCACTGATCGGCCCACAAGCGACCGAACCGAGCAAATACGATGTAGTAATACGAAGTAGCTTATTCATGCCTAAACTCGTGTGACTCAACTCCTTTAGCCTCTGCCATCTTTCGGGCTAAGCCTCATTATCTCTCCTTTTACCGAAGGCTGTAAAAAATGACTCCTTTTTCGATTATTTAACTCAAACTCACTCAAAACGCTCTCACTCACTCAGTCGATTTCATATGGAATGGACGTATGTATATCGCGAGTGAAGTCTATATATTTTTGATCAGATTAACGAGGCAGCTAGTTATATTCGTCAGTCCATCCGTCTGTTCCTCCATCTGTCCGCCTGTTCGAGCTCAGAACGTTTTCCAAGCTGAATTCGCCCGACTTTTAGCAACTATTCTATTCATTTAAGTTTTTGACAATTTGAACAAACGTTTGGCATTTACGAATTTAAATGTCTAATTATTAAAACAGCTCGTTTGCATAATTAATCAAGCCCAGCCAGTGGAGATGGCTCTCGTTGCTAGTTGAATTAAACATTTTTATGGTTTTCCAATGCAAATGTACATAATTAATTTAATTACAATCAAGTGTTACAGAAAATTAAAGGCAAAAAAGACTCTGAACCACATACACACACACACACACACACTCTCATACACACACCCAGGGGCCCAACCACATAGGTACAAGTGTTGTTTCAATAAAAACATAATAATAAGAATATAACCAATACCAATACATACATAGGAATGCGGTTGCATTCAACATTTTTTATTTCATTTGATACTTTTATTGCATTTTGGCTTAACTGAAATGTCATGCCTTTAAATGAATGCATAAAATACGCGGCCAACCGCAGTAAATGGAAAAACAACAGCGATTCCAATAAAAAATATATATTGGTTCGTTCGCATGAAAATGCATAGTTTATATGGCATATAATACAAATAGAAAACAGAGAGCGATACGTTCGGTTGGCCACAGATTAAATACGCTTACACACGATAGTAACTCAAGAAAAAAAATCATAAATGAAGTCTGTGAGAGTTGTTTATACCTGATTTTAATAGGAATGAGCGGAGGGATAACATTTTGGGGATGAGATCTGTCAAATCGTGTATCATTCAATATACATTGTCATAAATTCGTTAATCATCTCATCAGACTCAACAATTTTATGCGCATTGTTCACTTTCTACGAAAACCTAATATGAAATACCTGCGAAAAGGGTATTAAGGCCAATAAACCGCTCGTCCGTTCGACCGTTCTCGGTAAATAGTTATGTGTCAGCCGAATGATATTTATTTAAATTCCGCTCAGAATCGCAATTTCGTTATATATAATTTAAATTGCATTTACTAAAGCATTAAACGAGTGGAAAGTAAGAAGAAAAAATTGTAAATAAATTTGTTTTCTAGGTAATATTATGGTAACAATGTGCAAACGCGATAATGAACCTGGCCACATTACGTGACCATGTTTACATTCGTTTCATCAACGATTTTAGCAAATATGCATATACACACACACACACACACAATTGAAGTTTAAGTGCGCTTTTTAATTTAGCATGTAAACAATTCTCAACCGCAATAAATACAAACATTTCACATTTTGCATCAAACAAGTAAATGCCCGAAATGTATATGATTCATATTATATTATACATTATATAATTTATATATATGTACATGGATATGTTNACACACACACACACACACTCTCATACACACACCCAGGGGCCCAACCACATAGGTACAAGTGTTGTTTCAATAAAAACATAATAATAAGAATATAACCAATACCAATACATACATAGGAATGCGGTTGCATTCAACATTTTTTATTTCATTTGATACTTTTATTGCATTTTGGCTTAACTGAAATGTCATGCCTTTAAATGAATGCATAAAATACGCGGCCAACCGCAGTAAATGGAAAAACAACAGCGATTCCAATAAAAAATATATATTGGTTCGTTCGCATGAAAATGCATAGTTTATATGGCATATAATACAAATAGAAAACAGAGAGCGATACGTTCGGTTGGCCACAGATTAAATACGCTTACACACGATAGTAACTCAAGAAAAAAAATCATAAATGAAGTCTGTGAGAGTTGTTTATACCTGATTTTAATAGGAATGAGCGGAGGGATAACATTTTGGGGATGAGATCTGTCAAATCGTGTATCATTCAATATATATTTACGTCATAAATTCGTAAATCATCTCATCAGACTCAACAAATTTTATGCGCATTGTTCACTTTCTACGAAAACCTAATATGAAATACCTGCGAAAAGGGTATTAAGGCCAATAAACCGCTCGTCCGTTCGACCGTTCTCGGTAAATAGTTATGTGTCAGCCGAATGATATTTATTTAAATTCCGCTCAGAATCGCAATTTCGTTATATATAATTTAAATTGCATTTACTAAAGCATTAAACGAGTGGAAAGTAAGAAGAAAAAATTGTAAATAAATTTGTTTTCTAGGTAATATTATGGTAACAATGTGCAAACGCGATAATGAACCTGGCCACATTACGTGACCATGTTTACATTCGTTTCATCAACGATTTTAGCAAATATGCATATACACACACACACACACACAATTGAAGTTTAAGTGCGCTTTTTAATTTAGCATGTAAACAATTCTCAACCGCAATAAATACAAACATTTCACATTTTGCATCAAACAAGTAAATGCCCGAAATGTATATGATTCATATTATATTATACATTATATAATTTATATATATGTACATGGATATGTTATGTATATACAGGTATGCAAATATTATTTTATATCAGTTTGTAATAGAGCTGACAGATTAATTATGAAGCGCCTTTTGATAGTAGTGCAAAATTAATTAAATTTATTTCCATAAAATGGGAATTACCAAATCATTGTTTGACTTTTCCCTTCGATTGGCGCAATTTATTGATTTGCTTTGATAAAGCAATGTAGCCATATTAAACCACAGCCGCAAACACTTCTTTGGCTTGCCATTTGCACCATCTATTTGTTTCAGGGTTCACCTGATCACGCCATTCAATTGGATTGAAATCTATCACCCAGCCAAGGGCAAGAAAATAATTAAATATATTCCAATGGCTATTTGAAGAATGTCCTTGCTATATAAACAGCAGAAATGCAGTCTGACTTATGCTTCATCATCGGAATCTATTTGAGACTGCGACACTTTGATATACATAAGTATAGACCATTAGTTATTATTAGTTTGCAGTCATTCACAACAAAAGGAAACTATATATAGGCCATTAGCTGCTGCTGGTTTGCAGTCATTCTCAACAATAAGAAAGTATTATTTATCAGTAAATCAAGGCATATAATATTTATATACACGGAAATTATTAAAGTGTATGTATGTGCATACCTTGACTATTTACATACATCGACATGTATGTTTATTTGCTATTGTTACACGTGTGATAGTGGTTGTTGTTGCTGTTGCTGTTGTTGTTGTTGTATGCTAGTGTACAATTGTTGAATAAGCGCTGGAATCGTAATTTACCGCAATTAATTTTAATTGCGTTGCTTGTCGATTTTCATTGCGTTTTCGATTTTTCACACACAATTTGAATAAATAAACATAAATGGCAAAAGGGGAAAATGGAATGAATTGAAATATACACATGTATATAAAAAGAGCTTAAACGCCATTTAAACACATAAATTAACTATAAATATTAATGGATGCAAATACACACACACATGCACATACATTTGTGTATTTGCAGTGCGTCCACTTCTGGTAGAAATCAGCTTCAACAATCAGCCCATGTCAGCTGACCGTAAATACGAGATTGAATGCCAGGCAATCGGATCAAGGCCGCCGGCGAAAATTACCTGGTGGATGGGCAATCTGGAGATGCACGGCCACAGCCAGAAGGTGAGTTACATCAATTGACCCACACAAAAAGATTTCAAAATGTAACCCGCTCCGACCCCTCTAAAGGTCACCGAGGATGGAAATGCCAGCACCTCCATACTCTCCATCACCCCAACGCGGGAGGACCACGGCAAAGCGTTGTCCTGTCGCGCCACCAACGAGCTGGTGCGCAACGGCATAAGAGAGACGGCCATGAAACTGAATGTCTTCTGTGAGTACTCCACGAATTTGTGATGAATAATCAAAATGAATAATCGATATCAACATCAATATATATTTATTAATTAT